AGGAATTCAAAAATGTCAAACTACAGCATTTGAGATGTCTTTCTGATTTCCTGAACTTGTGCAAGTTAATTTGCTCTTAGTCAATATTTATAAAGCATTAAAAACAATCTTGTTTATTTCTTTGCCTGCCAAATTTAGGAAGGTCAGGCCTGACTTGGAAACAACACAAAAGATAGCAAAAGCAGTTTATGCCAGACATCTGCATTGCTTTGTCAAAATTCTGTGAACATGGGCCCAGCGCAGTAGCCTAGTAGCTACAGTCTTCTTAACCATGCATGTACCAGGATCCTATATGGGCACCGTTCTAATCCTGGCTGCCCTGCTTCCCATCCAGCTCCCTGCCTGTGGTCTGGGAAAGCACTGGAGGACAGTCCCAAACCTTGGGACCCTGCACCCACATGGGAGACCTGGAAGAGTCTTCTGGCTCCTGGCTTCAGATGGGTTCAGCTCTGGCCGTTGCAGCTACTTGGGGAGTAAACCAGCAGATGGACGATCTTTCTGTCTATCTTGCTCTCTGGAAATCTGATTTTCCAATAAAACAAAGAAAGAAACAAACAGAAGAAATGAAGAAGAGAATCAAGATAGTGGAATTGGGGAAGGGAACATTTCCACAGATGGAGAAACATTAGCCAGTGTGAAGCAGAGCGCACATGCCAGCAAATAGGAGAGGACAGAACAACAGCAGAGGGGCACCTGGGATGACAGACACAGGAAAGCAGCGGACGCAACGGTGTGGTGCTGCAGTGACTGATACCCCAGCGGCATTCGGTGAGCAGTGATCTGAACTCCACCAGCAGCCAGGTGGGAAGGGACATTCACCGGGAGATGAGGAAGTGAACCCAGACAAAGAACTGCTCATCCTGCTGGTCCATCTGATTTGACCAGGAGCAGAGACAGAGTGGCAGGTCCCAGATGGGCAGTGCAGGAACAGGGTGGATTTCACAGCCCAGTCTGCCCTTAGAGCTGAATCAGGTACCATTTTGAGTAGAGAGATGAAAACTATGGGACAGGAATGTGCATGCACGGAGCTGGGAGTGGACTCATTTCTGGCTCAGTGAACAGCAACAACACGGCTTTATACAGGTTCCATCCAAGACAGACCCAGGTAGCCCTCAGACTTGATGGCCAGATCAGGAACTCTAGTAGTGGCACACCAGGTGCCATTTTGTACAGTGTAGAAAAAGCCTTAAGACTACATGGACAACAGTGAGCTGTGCATGCATGTGTTGAGCTGGGAGAGAACTCACTCAGCTCAGTGCATTGCACCAGTCCCACAAGGGAAATAATACCGACTTTGGCATCATACCGGTCAAAATAGGTCCGTGTGGCACCCAGACCTAATATCCAACAGGTTCTGGCAAGATCAGCACCACCAACAACCTAGCTATATAGGACACCTGGTGTCTCCCTAATCCTGGGAACTGCTCCAACCAGAAGTGGGAGAAAGGTTGTACAAGCTACAGCTTCAGCAGGGGATCATAGGAGGTGGACCAGCATAACATACCCAGCAAAACTTTCCTTTGTCTTTGAAAACGAAATAAAATCCTTCCACAGAAAAGTCAAGTTCAAGGAATATGCCTCTTCCAAACCTGCCTTACAAAGAATACTTAAAGATGTTCTCTTGACAGGAGAAAAGAAATAGCACCCACCAAAACCGAAAACAAATGTGAAGAACATCCCAGTAAAATAACAACAGAAGACTAAATCAATGAACAACCCATTGCTAAAATGACAGGGCCAAATTATCACCCTTCATATGAAGCCTGAATGTAAATGGATTAAATTTAGCAAAAGTCATAGGTGAGTAAACTGGATTAACAAACAAAACCCATCTATTTGTTGCCTATAGGAGACATATCTCACCAACAAAAATCAGTGGAAACTATATCTCATGGATATTGATATTTTCGCAGTTTCATCTGTTCACAACACTTTCTCATTAAATTCTTCACGGACTCATAGATCATATAGTAGCATCATTTTCTTCAACAAGGTTCTTCACTTTCTTTTTCATTTCTTCAGCGACACATTAGTCATTCAATAGCATGTCATTTAACTTCACGATGTTGTAAATCTCTATTTTTCTTCATGTTGTTGATTTTGTTTTGTGGCTTTTCATTTAAGGGGATGTACAGTAACTGTGTAATGGAGACTGTCATATCCAGATGTGAGGATATAATGCAGTACACATCTCTACTTCCAGATTAAAGATGGACTCCCAATGAAACTGTTAACTATATCTTGACTGTAGGATGCTGGACTCTCTGCCATTATCCACGCCTGCAATGATGGACATATGACTGTTCATTAAGAACTATACTATAGTAATAGTACAGGGAACTCAGTGGGTAGGTAGAGAACTTGGGGAGAAGGGAAGGGAAATCCCTGGGCCTATGGAACTGTATCTAAAACAATAATAATAATAATGAAGTAAAAAATAACAATAAATCTTTAAAAAAGATGCTGCTTGCAATGCTTGTACCCCATAGCCGAGGGCCTGGGTCCAATCCTAGCTTCTGATTCCAGCTCCACACTTGTGGCTCTGCACACCCCTGGGAGGTGGCAGGTGGTAGCAGCTACATCCGCGGGAGACCCAACCGAGTCCTAGGCTCCAGGCTTCAGCTGAACACCTCTGGCTGTTGTGGACTTTAAGGAATAAATCAGTAAATGGAAGATCACTGCCTCTGGCTCTCTGATTTGCAAAGAAATAAAACATATTTAAAAATTAAAATAAAACCTTGTAATTCTGGCAGGTAGATAGTAAAATTCTTAAGCTCAAAAGCTGAGCGGGACTGGCACTGTGGTGGCAGAGGTTAAGCCTGTGCCTGGGATATTGGTATCCCATACAGATGCCGGTTTGGGTCCAGGCTGCTCCAGTATCTATTTAGCTCCCTGCTAAAATGCCCGGAAAAGCAGCTGAAGATGGTCCAAGTCTCTGGGGGCACTGTGTGCATGTGGGAGACCTGGAAGGAGCTGCAAGCTCCTGGCTTTTGGATTGACTCAGCTCCGGCTATTGTGGCCATTTGGTAAGTAAACCAGCAGATGGAAGATCTTTGTCTCATTATGTAATTTGGCCTTGTAGATTAAAAAAAAAAAATCTAAAACAACAACAAAACAACATAAAAACAATGCTGAAAGAGGTGACAGAATCTGCTATGTGGTGAATCTTGATTTCAACAAAGACCTTTGACCTCAAGACCTTGAGGAAGTCAGAAAAAGACTCTCTGGGCTTTGTAACCTTGCAAGTCTCCCATTGCCTTTAATTTTTCTCTTATTTATCCAATCACTTTTAATCTAATCTGCAATAAAGATAAAAGGAGAAATGAGAGGTCATGCTGCGACACCAGCATCTCATATTGGTGCCAGTTTGAGTCCTGGCTGTTTCATTTCCCATCCAGCTCCCTGCTACCGTGCCTGGGAACGCAGTGGAGGAGGACCTGCACCCATGTGGGAGACTGGGAGGAAGCCCCAAGTGTTGGAGGCCATTTGGGGAGTGAACCAGTGCAATGGAAGACCTCTCTTTCTTTCTCTGTAAAATCTGCTTCTAAAATAAATAAACAAACAAATAAATACATACATACATACTTCTGGTCCTGCGACTCGCATGCTTTCCCTTGCTGATCTGTCAGTACTTAGCCTTCCATACTCCCCCAGCAGTTGGATGCCCGCCCAATTTTTCCAGTTCCGACTTTCCTAGAGAGTTGTGCTCCTCCCAGCTGGCCCCAATCTACCTCCCTACATTTTCCGTTAGCATTTTAAATCCGGGAGATGCAAACTGACTGTAACGTCACCTGCACCACCAGCCAGCTGTCTGGCTCGCCTTCTCTCTCTTCTCTTACTACCCCGCTTTCTTCAATTTTTTCTTTCAACCAACATTTATCATGCATCTAAGGAGTCCCACATTTAATTTCCTCCCGTGCTAGGTAGGTCCATTCATTCGCAAAGCTGGGTCATTTCAATCCTAAGAATCTCTTGGCTTGCCTAACAATCGGGTACAGCTCAACTAAATTCTTTTACTGAGCTGGAATGAGAATTCCCTTCGGCTCGAATCACAGCCAAACAGAACTGGTTTTGCGTGCCCCTTCATGGCGTGGCCATCACCTAGAACTCAGCGTTGAACCTGGGTCGCCGACCAACTGCCCGGTGAAGGCTTAGGGGCTGGACAGAGCGGATCTTGGGAAGCGCAGCGAGCTGTGTTTGGAGGGATACATGCGTAGTTTTCCTTAACCTGTAGGTCCCCACACTGTCACATCAGCCTGACAATGATTTCTAGGGTGCGTCTGGGGAGACTGCACAGGAGGTCCTGGTAACCACTTGCAGGATTCGTCAGCTTCCCGGGAAGGGACTGCGGGTGCTGCGTTCTCTCTCCGTTTTTTCCCCCAGCCCCTGGACTCTCTGGCTCTTCGTAGGGGTTCACTAAATGTCCGTGAAGGATTAGGCAAAGATAATTTTAGGCATCGGAGAAAGAACGAAAATGAATGAGGCCTGAGGGGAAAAAGAAATGGGGCCCGGGGTGTTTCCTCCCCCATCCCCGCGCGGGGATTGTCGTGGGGAGGGGAAGGATCTGGGACCCAGCACATGTCTTTCCGCTCAAGTGAAATAAACGTCTCTCCTGCACAATTCCCAAGTCGGGGGGCCCCCTCTGGCTGAGCAGCCAGGCCCTGGAGCGCAGCCACGATCCTGGCCCTGAGCCCTGCTCCCCTCCCGCCCAGCCCGGGGCTCACCTCGCCCAGCACAGACCCAACAACTCGGGCGCTCCCCCGGCCCGCGGCCCCGAGCCCACCGACGTGTGCTCCCCGCCCGGGCTGCAGCGCTGGGCTCCCGGGGCCTGGCCGCCCCGCCCCGGCCCGACTCGGGCCCCGCCGCGCCTTCTCGAAGCCGGGAGAGGCAAGGCGGGAAGCGGCTGCAGCCGTGAGGCGCCGAGGGGCGGGCCTCGGGGCCTCGAGATGCGCAGCGCCCCCCGAAGCCCCCCACAAGTCCGGCGGCCCTCGCTCACTCACCACGGTGCGGCGGGGCAGCGCGCCGGAGCCCCGAGACAGGGCCCGGCGGAGCCTCCGCGCCCGGCTCGAAGTGGCCTCTCCGTAGCTCTCGGGGCCGCTGTCGTCCGAGATCACGATGAAGTCGTCCATGGCTGTGGGCCTCCGCCTGGCCCAGCACGCGGGCGGCCGGCGTCCCTGAGGGCAGCGGCGGCGGCGGCGGCGGCGGCGGAGAACGCTCGGCTGCCGAGGCGGCCGCGCCGGCGGCCACAGCCCGACCCCCACCCCGCCGCGCCGGCCCCGCCCCCGCCGGCCCGAGCCCCGCCCCGCCCGGTCCGCGCCCCGCCCCGCCCGGTCCGCGCCGCCCCCGCCCCCGCCCGGTCTGCGCCGACTCCGCCCCGCCGCGCCGGCTCGAGCCCCGCTCCCGACCGGTCCGCGCCAGCCTCCGCCCGGTCTGCGCCGGCCCCGCCCCCGCCGCGCCGGCCCCGCCCCCGCCGGCCCAAACCCCGCCCACCGGTGGTCTGGCGCGCGAGGCTCCCGCGGGGCGGCGGGGTCACGGCCACGGGCGCAGCGCATGGGGCGCTGCGTCCTTCCTTCCTTCTTTATGAGAAAAGGAGGGCGGGCAAGAAAGGGAAGAAACGAATTGCAGCCGATAGGGGCCCACCGAAGCTGCAGCTGAAGTGGAGCGTGAGGTGGGCTGAGCCCCCCTGGCTGGCAGACCCTCAGGGTTGGGCGACCTGACCTCTGACCGGGTTAGAAGGGCCTGGAACTCTGACTAGGTGAGCTGGCTTCTGGGTTGAGGTTAGGGGTCGGGGACCTCACTTCCTGCGCACGGGCAAGGCTATCCCTGAGGTGAAATCGGGTCAGAAACTGTGGCGTTTGTGTCGCTGTGCTGAGGGATGACAAATTACCGGCCTGAGCCGTGGCACCGGTGCTTTTCACCGACGGTGCGTGTGTCTCGGGGATTTCAAGCTGAGATTTGCAGAGTGCTCCAGCTGGTACGAGGAGGAGGAGCTGATGACGTACTTGAACATGAGCACACATCATCAGAAATTAGGCAGGTGGGAAACAGTGGTTCCCGCAGAGGTAGGGAGAAATGGTAGGCCTGATGGGAGGGCAGGGGTATTAAAAATCGAGATGAGATCGATGGTCAGAATAAATGGGTGACATTGGTGAAACTGCTACTCAGGCGCCAGCAGCTTTGCAAAATGTATTTACCCAGGGACAGAAAAAAAAAACAAAAAAAGAAAAGAAACAGAAACAGAAGAGAGAAAACGTGTTTAAAGAAGGGGCTGATTCCTTCCTAAATTGCTAAGTGCTGTCATTGCACAGTTCACAACAGTGGTTCTGGAACTTTCCTACGCATCAAAATCACCCAGAAGGTGGAGAGGGGTGAGCTTAGGAAAACACAGATTGCTAGGCCACACACCCAAGTGTCTGCTTGAGAAACTGATTTTTTTTTTTGGAGGATGGGATTCCCCAAGTTTACATTGCTGACAAGTTCCCGCATGAGGTTGCGGAGTCTGGGGACCACATTTGCAGAATCACGGCTCTGGTGGACAGGGACTTGATGGCCAACAGGGTTCACGTGTTCTACTCCAGGAGGTGAAACCCACGCCAGTGGTGTCAGGACCGAGGGGTGAAGTGGGCCTTGTTTATGTTATGGCCACCACACGCATCAAACAGCTGGCTAATTCCCTGTGGATTCAACCCCTCCTCTCTAAGCTGCAATTGGCTTGGCCCGCTCTTATCTTCCTTCTAGTCTCCTTGGCTGGCTCCTATCTCTTCTCCTTGCTGCGTAACCTCAACTAGTCCAACGGGCTTTAATGATCATCTTTGTGCCCCTGACCCTCACAAGTTTATCCCCACTCTTGTCCTTCAGGCTCCAGCTGCGTCTGCCTAGCCAGATGTCTTTGGAAGCTATTAGGCCTCTGCAGTTGGATGTCTTAAACTGACCTCTCCCCTATATTCCTTACAGTCACATATTCATTCTCGCTCTCTCTCTTTCTCTCTCTCAAACAAGGAAAAATCTGCTTCCTTTCTGTGTTTCCTATCTCGGTGAGTGGTGGTGTCACCAGCCAAAAGCGGCTTAAGCCTCGGAAATGTACTTTCTCATGGTTTTGGAGCTTAGGAAGTTCAAGGTTAAGGTATTGGCCAGTTCAGTCGTGGGAGAAAGCTGTTCTTGCTTTGCAGATAGCTAACATATCACTGTGTCCTGTAATAATGTCTCTCAGTGTGTGCACACAGGGAGCGAGCGAAAGATCTCTCTTTTAAACAGGGTCACTAATTCCATCACCAGGGCCTCACCTGCGTGACCAAATTTAATCCCGGGTACTTCCTCAAGGCCTCAACTGCACCTGCCATCACCTTGTGGGTTAGGGATTCAACATGCAAAATTTGAGGGGACACAAACATTCAGATCTATGAACTAGTATAAACTTCTCAACATAAAGACAAATATAAATTAATGTGTGTTCTTCTAAATTGTGTAATGAATATTCATGTATGATATATAATACATAGTAAATATACACCTACACACATATCCTTTTTTAAATATTCAATTATTTATTACTTGAAAGAATTAGAAGGAGAAAGAGAGGTCTTCCATCTTGTTCCATCTTGTTCGTTCCCCAGATAGCCACAATGGCCAGAACTGAGCCCATCCAAACCAGGAGCCAGGAGCTTCTTCCAGGTCTCCATCATGGGTGCAGAGGCTGAAGGTCTTGGAGCATCTTCTGCTGCTTTCTCAAGCAATGAGCAGAGAACTGGGTTAGAAGTAGAGCCACCAAGGGGATCTTTTTGCCCCTGGCCAGCTGGTAACAGGGTGCCAACGGCACTGGGTGCAACCTTTGGGCCGCATTGTGGCATGCTCCGAGAGCTTGGGGTTGAGAATTTTTGGGAGGTTGGAGAGCCACACAGGTGAGGGATTGTGATGATCTGTGGATTCATGCTCAGGTGAAGAATTACTGCTGAAGAGACTGGAAAAGGCTACCATAAACATAAGTGAGGAATGATTCTGGAAGGACGCCCAATGACCAGTACACCATACTTGCAGGTAAGCAAGAGAATGAGACCTGGTGGTTTGAAGAAGAGAGACTGGAAGACCTTTATGGGTCAGCCTCATGCTCCAGCCCACATAGGAGTTCAAAGCTGGGCTTGTTAGCATGGAACATTGCTGACCACCGCATGCCAGGCCATATGAAAGCTAGGGCTGGGGGGCATGTCTGGCAGGGCTAGATCCCAGTACCTGACTGTGAGTGTCGGAACAGGGGACGGGTCACATTATGCTGGGCCATGACACCAACCAGCACGCAAGAGAACCAGGTCTTGGGTAGATTCTATAGGGGATATGTGGGCCTAACCCTGTGGAAATACAAGTCCCACTGGTTAGCTTAAAAATTAGAGTAGTGTTCCTGCTCGGACAGGAGTTGGACTGAGTAGGGCTCAAAATTTGAGGAAACACAAACATGGACCCACCAGTGTGTGCGAGATCTGGTATCGGGAGAGGTTCTGATGGAGGAGCTTGGCAGGTCCTCTGTTGGGACAAAGTCCCTGCAGGTGAGTACAAGAACCAAGACAAGGAGCAGCCCAGACCAGGACAGGTTATGGTACCCACCAGTATACATTTGGCTCAGGTCTGGGGCAAGCCAGACTAGACTAGTTCATATCACCCGCTGGCAAATCTGAGAGTTAGAATGGTGTGTGGGTCATGCCAGGTCAGGTTGCACTACTATTCGGTTCAACACACTAGGGCCAGGACTGGGGGCTGGGCTTGGCCAGGCTAGGCTGTAATCCCCACCAGTGTGAGTTGGAACTGGAGGAGGGCCAGGCCCAGCCAGGCTACAGCACCCCCTGGTAAATACCGAGATGACGCATGCTATGCAATACATACCAGACTGGGACAGAGCACCCAACCACCCAACCAGCACATGTGAGACCTGGGGGACAGTGGTCAGACCCGGTAGGGAAACTGCAGGGAGCTCCCCGCTGGACTACCATTCCCACTGGTGAGTGTGAGAGCTGGGAATGGGGCAGACCAGGCCGTCAGGGCTACAACTTCTGTTGGCCTTATGTGAACTGAATCAGGAAAAAGTCAGGCTGGGTGAACTGTACCTACTGGTACATGCGTAAGCCAGAGTGGGTGCGGGTTGGTTGGGTTTTGCTGCAGCATCAGCTGGCAGATGCTGGCATGGGCGCGGGGAACTCTGTCAAGCTAAACGGCAGAACCACTTGGAGAGTGCAAGATCCGGGAATGGAAGTGGACCCAGTAGGAAAATAGTGGACACCTCCTGCTTGTGTTGCCACTCCCACCGGTGAGAATGAGAACCAGGACTGGCACAGGCAGAGCTAGACAGAGAGTGGTACCCACCAGCACTTGTGTGGGCTGAATAGCGGGGCTGGTTTGGATGAATTAGGCTTCAGTGCTCATTGACACATATGAGAGCTGAATGGGATGTGGGACAGACAGGGCCAGTCTGCCCTATCTACTGGCTGTTGTGGGCTGAGGAGTTGATTAGTGCTGGTTGAAATAGGCAGGAATAGGAACTGGACTTGTAGTTAAAAACACCAGTCTGGGTGTCTAAATTGGACTCACCTGTATTCAATATTCTAAATTAGTCCTAAATTAGGACTTGGGGTGGGAAGAGCATATAAGGAGAGGTGAAACAGCAATAAAGAGACTTTGCAGAGACTTCTACCATCACTGGTCTCCTGTCGGTGCTTCATCCCCAGACCCTCTCCCTGTCTGCGTTATTGGCTCTGCTGGTCAGAGCACTGGCAAGCACAGGAACCAGGGCAGGGGGTGGGCTTAGTGGGGGTCACTGCGGGTCGCTCCAACTTGGTTTCAGCTCCCATTTGTTTGTGTGAAGGCCAAGTGTGCAGTGGGCAGGATCGGGCTGGACTGCAACGTCCATTGGTTTTGTGTAGAAGACAGGGCTGGAGACAACTGACCCAGCAATCGCAACTAACATTGTGCGTAGGCCAATTTGGGTGACGGACTGTGCCAAACCCTGAATTGGAATGCACACACAAGAATCAGGTCTGGGATCACCTCAGATGAAATTTCTTTGAGAATCCCCTCAGCTAAACCACTGGACTCAGAACTCCATCTGTGGAGGAAATCGCAGGTTCCGTGAACTGACTATAGAATGTATGTGTCAAAACTGAGCCTCCTCAGTGGCTTAGAATGAGTAGTGGTCAGCATATCCAGATGCAAAAGGGGGATTTGGCAGT